TTCGCTTTTATAATTGGGCCCATGAATCCCAATGCGGAATGTGCCTGTTCCTCTAGTAATGATGTTTGCTGATGTTGACTGGGCCTTGTTTCTTTCCACGGCCGAGGTTGGGGCAGCCAGAAACAAGTGCGGCCTCGCTCTTGGTCCAATGGATAGTACTGAAGTTTTTGTTTCCAAGCGACACGAGAGAGCAACGGACAACGGTGGGCTGCGAAGTTCCGATGGGAGGACGTGGGGATGGAGCCTGAAGTTGCCCATAAACGCCAGGGAGCTCCAATTGTCCAAGGACCATACTTTTTCGGGCCCGTAACACATGCGCGTGCATTGTCCACTGGAGGTATGTAGCTTTTGTAGCATTGGAGTATTGTCCAGTGTACAAACATATTCTGCCGGTATAGGCCAGGCCGTAACCATACCGCCAAACCATGCAAGTTTGTGTCTAAGAGAACCACCAAAATGGGACGGCTGGTGGTTGTTTTCCAAAACATATGACGCCCCCGACGCATCCACAATGCATGTTTTTGTTCGACCACCCGTTCACGAGGCGGAGGGTCGAGCAAACGAACAGGTTCCCTTTGCAGGAACGGGATGTGCTCGCTGGCCGCGCTGGTAAAAGATGGCAGCTGGTCGGGCAGCTTCGCCCAACTCCCTCCGAACTGCCGGCCCACCAAGCCACTGGGCCAAATCTGACGGAAGTCCGAGGTTGCTCCTAGCTGCTTCAAGACTCACAAAGATCTTGAAGAATGTCCTCTGTAAGCATCTAGCGAAAGTTCACCCAAGATAAATGTGCCTTTCCAACAGGTGATGCATGAACCCGACGGGCACACATTGGTTGAACCCTGATGCAAACAAAGCTTGCCGTTAAGAGGGCTTCCTTACGTTCTCAAGGGGTTCAGGGTTCGGCTTGCATCTGGGCTTCGACTTTCTCTGAACTTCGAGGGCCAACGTCATGCGTCCCTGAAGATGCATCCTCCAAATGTGTTTGGAATTAGGGGCAGTTTCTGATCCGGGTAAATCTGGTTTCCACATAGTTCTCAGGTTAGCCAAGCCACTTCTATGCCAAGAACTGCCGGCTCCGTGTTTTGCGACGTCCAGCCAAGGCGTTTGATCTTCTCAGCCAACAATAACGAGGCCCAAGCCCGCGTGGATGTGGACACCGACGGCACGGTTCAGTATTTTGGCGGAGCAGCGCTTCTGGGACGCACTTGGAAAAGCCAAACTTGCTGCACAACACTTTCCTAGAAAGGATGCCAAAGGAACCAAACGTTGGAGACACCACCAAAGAAAAAAGAGCGCACCGAACCGAGGTAAAACGCAGCAGTTCAGGCCCGCGAAGGTCCGGTACGTTAGGTTTCCTTACTTCAGGTTGAGTGAATCATAGCATGTTGCATTGCAGCAATCAGGAGTTCTAATTTGAGGTGACAGAAGGCAAACAAAAGCCGCTTTCAGGCTGTTGACAACAACAATCCCATGACAACAAAAACCGGGCAAATGCAACAATGATGGCGAGGATTGAACAAACACTAGTCAAAGCAAGATGTTGGCTTGAAGGCTTACGGTCAGGCCTGAGGCGTTGCTCCTTAATTGTTTGGAGAATGGATGCTGTCCCACTAGCTGAAGAAGCACTTGAAGCACTTTGTGCAAGTCAGCTGAACCTTGCGACAATCCGAGGTCCCACGGTTGGATGAGCCTGTCCAACATCGTCTTCGCGCCCGACTCCTTGGGGCACATCTCTTTGCCCTTGGCAGGGAGTTGGGTTGCCTATGGCGGCGACTTTGGATCTCCGGACTATACAGCGCCTGAGCTCAACAAGCTGCCGTGTTGTCCCTATGGAAATCCAAAGGTCCATTGTAAATGGCGTAGAGCTAAGCAGATGGGCCAATGGCTTGAAAGGGGAAGCGGAACAGGAGGCGGTTTGCCCTTCTTTTTGCATGTTTAAACAGGGGGTTGGCCCTCAAGCGTCCCATGGCTGCCAACTACATGCAGCTGTTCCCCAGAAGCGAGCGAGAAACTTCCACCCTGTGTTGGAATTTTCTACGCGAATAACATTTCATCAGACTCGCTTCCTTGAAAGAAAGGCATCATGAAGGAGCCTCCCGCGATCTATTATTGGGGGGGGTAAGTAAAAAGGAAGCTGGCAGATACGAAATCGGAACCAAAGCTCGATGCATGGTTCTTCTTTCGTTTCACATTCCAAACCCCTTCAAAAGAGTTAGATTGGCAAGTCCTGGATTTTCTGTTGAGCCTTTCACTCTGGCTCGGTTTGGCTCTGGCTCCTGAAAACTAAAGAATGTTTAGCTCACATGCCAGGGCTTCCACCCCCAGGATTCCATTTGTTGAAAGCCCCAAGGTGCATATCATCCCAAGACACTTCCCCCACAAGTCTGACAACCGATCGAAAAAAAGACCCAAGCCACGATCGGATCCGAGGTCCGCAACGGCGTGTGCTCGGTGGAGGGTTTGCTTTCGGGGGGGGCCTGGGGCCACTTGGCCACGTTGC